CTGATCTCTTCTATCCTTCCCAGCCGGGATACACACCAAATCCCCCTGCCGTGGATCCCCTCTCTTAAGCTCCACCCTCCCGTTCCCCCATCTTTCCCTGCACTGCCAAGCATCTCCCCAGGGTGCTGTGAAGTCAGTACTGCCCCCTGCTTGATGAAGACCAAGGCTCCACATCCAGCCCAAACCCCCGTGTGCGACGGCCAGAGACTCCAGGAGCGATGTCCCCCGCCGCAGGGCACCACCATCAGCCTCTCCTGTCTTACAGGGTCCCAAATCACAAAGTGGACTCCATGGAAACCGGCAATGACGAATCTGGCCTCTCTCAGCTCGCTGCCAGTGACATTTTTACAATCCTCTCCAAGGTTTTCAGGGATTTCAGACTCCAGGATGAAGACTCTTTCCAGCCACTCCATGCCCCTGCAGGCCCGCTGGACTCGGAGCACCTCCAGATTAAGATCGCTCTCATTCTCTCCAGGCTGGATCCGACTCACCCTAAAAACCCTCACGCAGCCGTCCTTCCCGGTGCTGTAGAACAATCCCCGGTATTCAAACACAGAGGTGACACCGTGTTTCCCGTGTACTCCGAACAGACAGCTCAGAGGCTGCAGCGTTAAGTCCTCCATTATTCTGTTTTTTCTTCCCATCTGCAAACCTTCATTCACTTCCTCATCATCACTTCTGTTAAACTCAATGTTTTCCTCAAACAAAAGCAGCGACCCTCTCCTGTCTCCACACACCCACAGCACCTTGTTAGAAGAATGCTGGAAGCAGATGGCAGCTGTGAGCCAGCGCTTGGAGCAGAGAGGTAGCAGGAAAGGTGGAAGAGGCACAACGTTGAGAACTAACACACTGTTTTCTTTGGTTTTAACCTCCACATACCAGCGACAGACAAACCCTTCAGCACCAGATGCAAGTAAATACAATTTATCTTTTTCTTTTTTCCAAAAAATACTGTGGATCTTTCCTGGTCTGCCTGTAAGAAGCATCCCAGCCAGAGGATCAGAAGTGGGAAACACCTGGATAGAGCCACTGATGTTAGCCACAGCACACAATGTAACTGTGCTGCCGATGTTTGTCACAAAGGTAGTAACTGTTTCCATTACACAGTAGGAATAAAACTCAGACGGACCTTCCCAAAGCGTCGTCCACCTTCCATCTCTGTACTGGCAAACCGCTCCTCTGTCTGTGCAAACCAAACACTGACTCCAGCACATGTTCTGCTCCTCTCCTGCTATAGAAACCACTTTAGGAAGACCAGGACCAGGAAACTTCAAGTCTGTTACTCTGCCTTCTAGACCCTCCTTCTCCTCTTCCACCTTCCACAGCCTCACTCCCCCATCTGCCCCTCCTGTTGCCACCCATGTCTCATCACCCCCTGTTCCCCTGCCGACCGCCAGGGAACGCACCCCTCCTGCACGGTGGCCCTTCAGGGTGCGGATCACCTTCCCTCCTCCAACCACATCCCAGACTAAACAGGCGCCATCCTCCCCGGCGCTGTATGCGTACCCTGCAGAGAGACGGACTGAGAACACCCTGGCCTGGTGGCTGTACAGAACCCTTAAACATATGGGGTTCAAGTCTCCACATTTCCCCCCAGGACCACCTAAGGCACCGACGTCCCAAACCCGAATGCTGCGGTCGTCTGACGCCGAAGCCAGGTATCCTTTCTCCTGGAGGTAAGAGATGCTGAAGATGACGCCGCTGTGACCCAAAAGACGGCGCTCAACTGGAGCCTTATGACCACAACCAACCATGTCATCTCCCCCAGGTTTCCAGATGACAAGCTGCTGGAAAACAGTCCCCCCAACCAAGACGGTGTCACGCCAAGATTCATGCACCAAAAGAAGAGCAGAATACAGCAGACAGCCCTCCAAACAGGAGCACTGCACCAGCGTGTTTCCTGTGGTAGAGTCCAGGAGAAGAACAGCATTATGGGCCACAGCAACACAGAGCAGCGACTGCCTGTCTGCAGGGAGCCAGCGGACATCCAGGGCCCAGTCCTGGAGCTCCAAGAGCGAGCCCACCACCTCCAAGTGGAGGGTCTCCACGTCCTGGAAATCTAAATGAAGCCTGACCAGCCTCACCGCCTTTCCTCCAAACACAGCAAAGTCATAGAACCCGAGTTCAGCAGGTTGGGTTTCCCCTGAAAGCAGAAAAAATGATCAATATTAAATAAATATCCATACGCTGGATTTTTTTTTTTAATAATGAAAAAAACTTATTTCCAAAGATAGGCTACAAATCAACATTAGATAATTAGAAATTATGAAAAATGTTCTTTAATAACAGCTTTAAAACTAGGCACTCCCACTAATCCTACATCTCTGATCACTACATTTTCTAGAACCATAACAACATAATAAACATTTATTCTTGGCACCAAATTCTACAGTACATCATTTATAAAGTATAGAGAAATTTCCCAGTGGCAAACCGTTTTCCTGCTGTCCGTGGATTGTAACGGTAGAGCTCTTGGTCAGAATAGCATCCTGACTCTTTGGTCTGATCCCATGGATTCTGTAATGATGCAGGACGCTCAGTGAAGAGCCGACTTTAGGGCGAGGCTGAAGTCTGTAGACAGATAAGACCGGTCCTTCTCCTGCCAGGAATGAAAACCTTATTCAGGTGTAACAGGGTGAATTACTGTAGATCAGGGGTCTCAAACAGATTCCACACTTCAGTCAGCTCATCAAGTGAATCCAGTCTTAACACAATGACTTAATGAGATGGAGTCTGGTGTGCTATCGCTTGGTCGGAAAGAAAACCTGCAGCCACACAGCCCTTTCTGGAACCAGTTTGAAACCCTTGCTGTAAATTAAATAGCAAAACAAAAACTTTGAATCAATTCTGGTCAGTTTTTGTCATCTTGAGGTAAAAAAACAAACAAAAAAAACAATGAAGTGTAGTAAAAGCTAATCTAAACAAATGAACAGTGACAGGCTACATTTCGTTATCTGTAGGGGTGCACCAATTGATTGGACTTGATTTCCTTGATTGGCCGATACTTGGATGTGAAACCAAACTTTTCCACAGCTCTTATCTATCCTGTAAATGTCTGAAAATCAATGCTCTAAACTTTTAATCAGATTTCAGAGCATTATTTGCAGAAGTTTCTATAGTTTCACAGGTACTTATTTATGCCTTTCAGTAAGACAAGATTGATATATTCAAGGGGATTGGGATCTTATAACAATTAAACCTGTCGATCAAAATCAGAATCAGCATGTCAGGCATTTTAAAGATATGGAATCAGTGATCGGCAAGAAACCTTCAATCGTTGCATCCCTAGTTATCGGTTTGGAAAACAGCATTTGTTTTGTTATGTTTATTTAGTTAATTGCCTGACCGTGTTTCTGCGGTAGTGAAAGAAGGATTACCTTATTTAAAGGTTGAGCAGCCTTTTATTGCCCCTATCAGCTGTGCACATCTGTCAGTTATAACAGAACCAGCTTAGTTAGACTAGAAGGAAATCATGTAGGAGTGAAGAATAAATTCAAATCTTGCCACTAATTCGTCTGAACTTTGACTAGGCCATTTTTATTATGCGTTGTCCTAAAAGAAGGTGAATCTCTAGGACAGTCTCAAGTCTTTTGCCATTTTAAAAGAAACTTTCCCAAAGAATTGCTTTGTATTTAGCTTAGTCAACCTTCCAATCAACTTTAACCACATTTACAGACCTTACTAAAGGAAAGCAACCCCAAACATTATGCAGCCGCCATGAGGGTTGCGTGTGTACAGGTCAGGATGTGTAGTGTTCATCATTTTTATGAACAACACATAGCATTTGATCTGGCTGTAGCACATTTTACTACATTTCCAGTGTTCTCTACATGTCAAAGTGCTAGAAAAAAATGTATTATGGTTAAAAAAAACTTCCTTTGTTTCTCTTTCAGGGCCCCAAATACCTCTTGGTTTCTTTTATAACTCAAGGCTTTTGGCTGTTATGGAATGTATTTGTGGGTATCAAAGTAAAATCAAATGCATGAAACTTTTCAATTAATTTGTATATGTTCATGAAAACTGTGGATCTTTAAATGAGGCTGAGATCGAAACGTGATAAAACAGGTCATGTTGTTTTTTCTTACCTGCCAGTAGAAACCGGTCCTGAAACAACTCCAGTGCTGTGATGGGGGCTACTAGAGCAGCAGTCTCCATCTTTACCGGGTAGTGAGATCTACTTAGCAATCTTCTGAATGCATCCTGTAATAAAACAAAGATACTACTCGCTAATTATATTCTTAAAAATAACAATGTGGATTCGGTTGACGCTAAAAATGACTGATGAGCTCGTTTTGATCAATTAAGACTGTATCTAAAAACCTTACAGTTAGCAAAACAAGCTAAGCTAACAAGCAAGAAACACTTCATTTGTTTAATGCCGCTACAAACGAAAAAAATAGTAACTTCTAAAATGAAACAATAATTCATCCGTACCTCCTATAACTTTAAAACAACTGAGGCATGTCTAGAACATATTTAAGAGCTTCTAATATTTTTACAGCAACTGTACACACATGCATTTCTGCACATTTCTTCCCAGTACTTCCTACGTGACCAGTTTCTGAATGCTGATTGGTTGCAGGAGAAATAAGACGTGCTTATTGGTCAAAAGGGAACCTGTGACGGAAAGGGGAAGGGTTTGATGCGTTTAATTTTTTCTGTAAATGTGGGTTGCTTGAGAAAGCCCGTTCACTGAGAAGTGGAGCCTAATTTTATTTATAGCCTAGCTCTCGCGGATGAAAATATGAAGACACAGCTATAAGAAATGATGCAGGTGCCAAACAAAAACATGATATATTATTGTCAAATTAGTGTTACATTTATTAATTAGTACACTTAGTCACATTTTTCGAAATGTAATGTAATATAATAGCTCATTAAGAAATTATATGTAACTAATACATTATTTATGTCAATTATAGCATATCTTAACCGTTTGTCATACTTTTTTGTTTGTTTTTCAACATGAAAATTTGTACCAATTTTTTTTCACAGACGACCCAAACGCATCACAAGGCAAAATAAGGCGAATAGGTCCCTCTCTGTTTAGATAGCATTCCAGCTAACTTTGCAGTAACCATGCCAGGGAAATGTAAATTCCAGGATTCCTGGCTGACGAAGGACGCTTTCAAGGACTGGCTGGTCAAAGATGCCGATGACATCCACTTCGCTCGGTGCAGGGCTTGCTGTAAATCAATCAAACTTCAGACCATGGGCGAGGCTGCGCTCACCAGCCACGCAGGCGGAGCTGGACACAAAGCGGCTGTCCGCAAGCTGCTAGAAGGTTAGGTTAGCTTCCTATGGAAACAGCCCAGCGAGATGCTTAACATTGATGGCCTGGTTTCTATGGAGTCACACGCTTTGTGCATGTTTATTTATTTAATTCTTCATGTTGCCTTGTTTGGCCGTCCATTTGCAAAATCAATGAGCACACATGTTTAAGCAAGGATATGTTAAGTAGTAAATAGTTCGGATGCAGGGGCGTAGACAGAATAAAGGTGGCCAGGCACTAACCAATGAACAATGAGGGGTGGCTAAGAGAGGATAGATACAAGAACCTCACGGTCAAACCAAAGATAAGACAAACTATACTTTCCTACAGCCTTTGGTAACATATAGATGCATATATTTAAACATCCGTGCTTTCTAAATAAGAGATATAGTGGTTAAATTCTTTCATGTTCGAGTTCTGGGGCGAACATCTTTTCCATTGTCATTACTTACCTACTTTTATCAATAATAATTCTGCATAAATTTGATATTTACAAGTACTAATGTCTACATAAATTGATTATTTAATATGTTTGTAATAAAATAGTTATTTATTTCTGATTTAACTGAAGACTCCTAGATGACTTGCAGAGACACATAGGAAATCTAGTCCTGAAAAGAGCATGAATTCTGTACTTATCATCTTTAATGTTAGTATATTGATGTGTGTATGTTCTTGGTGTCCTTATTGAAGCTTTAGCTTGACGCTCGTCAGACTCCCTTGTATCAAAAACACTCCAGAAATAAATCCATGTGTCCACTTCTTGATTTTAACGATTTACTTGAAAAGTTAACGCAACATTACAGAACACATAAAATGTATCCACTAAATTAAGTATTTTAAAGTCCAACGGAGCCTGGGAAGGGCGAGGTCAAAAAACGAATATGCTCCAATCTCCTTCTGATTCCCACAGCACTTGCTCCCCTGGCATAAAGACAAACCACCCCCCTTCGTGGGTTTTTAAATGTCACAATAAAAGTCATATCTTACTCACACAATATCAATGAACTGTACGTATGTAAATAGCATTTTTCAATCTTTTTAAATCCCTTTGAATCATTAAATCACAAACAATATTTATCTTACTTATGAATTTGCATATTTTTAAATAAAATAAAAAATAAACATTCTAACTAAAATAAATTAAATTTAGGCTCCTACAATGTGTATAATTAACTACAGTGTTTTTGTTGTCAAGTAATTATGAATATTTGGAAAATATAGCAATATATAAAAAATTTTAATGTTTTTAATATTCCACTTGAGAGTATTACTGCTGCCACCATCTGTATTAGACGGGAAAAAATGGTAGGGGTGGCCAATGATTGTTTAAGGGTGGCCATGGTCACCCCTGGCCCCCCATCTAGCTCCACCCCTGTTTGGATGATTGATTTTATGATTATGTTTCATAGCCTATTACAGGGGCAACATTGTCAGTGTGAAGCCAGTGACTAAAAGCTGAATTATTGGATAATATAAATGTAACTAAGGCTATTTTTCTTTCTTTTTTTCTTCTTTTTTTATTTCTCAGAGGATCAACTTAACATATATTTAGTAATCAATTAGTTCCTGTTTTCCTTTGGACTAAAAATGTGGCGACACAGAGAGCCGTTACTCTTAGTGGCTCCTCAAAATGAGAAAGAGAGGACATTTTATGTAAAAAAAAAAAATGCAGTTTTTTAAGAAATGGCTTCAAATATCTAGTAAATTTTATAAAGGTTAAAGAAAAAATGTATTAAGACAAGGACCTAAGTAGATCCCTTCCAAAAACAAAACAAAAAACACCTACAGTTAAGTATGGTGAAGGATTTGTGAGGCTCTGGGTCCTCTCTTTAAAGGTCCTCTGAACTATGTGAAAAGTTGACTTGTCAGTGTTTGCCAGGATAATGATTAAAAAGCAAATTTCTCACATCAAAAATTAACAAATATACATTTTATTAAATAGATATATTTTCCATGGAATTGCTATTGTTGTTAGTGAAACATTTCAGCAACCATTTTTCATTTTATTGTCATCAATTTAATTGCCTTTCGGTTTTAGTTTGGTAAGAGAACATCTTTAATTACTTAGGACTAAATCTGTCTTGTCTTTTAAGATACTCTAAATTAAGTCTAGAATTGTGTCTTAATGTGCTGTCAATGAAACCTAGAAGTGGCTAAACATTTAACTCTAGATTTGGGTTTTCCTACCTCATAATCATAATGCTGGTAAAATTATTTTAGGTTTTCAAATCTTCCATCCTTTACTAAAACGCACCTTAAATTTATTTGAGTTGTGATAATGTTATACCTTCATCTAACAGAAGGTGGCACTCTTTGCTAACATCTACTCTGTCCTTTTTGCCCATTAATGCAGGTAGTTTAGGTGGTGATATAAGGCAGCTGAATGGCAAAATCAATCAGGTAAATAGTTCACATTTTTTTTCTATTCCTGGTTTAGATTAATTTAAAACGTATTGATAACAGATAGGGCCTCAAGTAGGGAGTGTTTTGCAAATCGATGAATCTGTCGATTATTCTTTCGATTAATTGATTAATAATCGGATAGCCAAAGGTTCTTAAAGAATAATTTTTATGTAATTAAACCAGGTGAAACTAAAACTTTTCCACTTTAGGAGGCTGGATAGAGTATATTGATTGAAGAAAAATATTTTTTAATCTTAGATGCAAAATGTTCATATATATTTATTTACAATTTTTGTATAATTACTGCGCTAAGTGGGTTGCTCTGTCAGCTAAAGGCATATTTTACAGTCTCTCTACTCGATTTTACGATTAATCTGTTTTTGAATTAGTTGGCGTTTATTTTAATAATCGATTAATCATGATTATTCGATTAATTGTTTCCGCTCTAACAGATTACGAGTTGCTCATATATCCTTGGATTCCTATGGTGGTTTTATTGTCTGTCACCTCCTTTTGTAGATGGAGAAGAGAAAAGATCCAATGGCCCTCAGCATTCAGGGTGAGGCTTTGGACAGAGTCGCAGGAAACGATTGGTCAGATCTCCACCAGAGTCCCACTTCAAACTCCAGCTCCCACAATGCAGAGCTGCAGGAAGGAGCATTTCCTGTTGCCTACTTCACAGCCCCAGGTACCTACGGATAAATATCTCAATGTAGACTGAATATTTTAACCTTTCTGTTAAAACATTTTATTTCTATTCAGCTTGACCACATTTTTTTTGCTGTTTCCTACCAACCTTTTTTGCCACTCTTCACAGGAACCTCAAGGAGCATCAACCATCATCTTCACCCATCTGAGATCAAGGAGGAGGATGTCAACCGCCGTTTTTCTCATCATGACACTGTGGACCTTACAAGATTTGAACTTGAGCAGCGGACAGAGGCGCTGGAGCAGCTGGAACAGATGAAGATCCTGGAGTGGGAAAACAGGATGAAGGTGCTTGCATGGGAGCAGGAGCTGGTGAGGGAGAAAAGGAAAGCAGCTCGGCAGAAGCAGAAGGCCTTCAGGATGAAAAAGGCCTACTACAAGGCCAAACTCAAGAGGTTAGGAGAAGACGTGCCGCCATCCTCCTCTAGCAGTGGTGAAGAAGAAGAAAAGATATCTGAGCTTCATGGTTGATTTGATTCCATTTTTCTGGGAATGTTTAATTTCTGTGTTGTTTGTCTTTAACCTTGGGACATTTTTATAGATTTATACTATTTGAAGGTATAGAAGTAGCCTGACGTAGTCCGACTCAATTCTAGTCAGAATATGAGTCTGATACTGCTCCATAGAGCTGTGATTATGGGGCGTGTTTTGAACGAACCAGGAAAAAAAATGCCTCTGCACTCAATTGGATAGACCTACAACCAATAAGAGCAACGGAGTGCGTGACGTATCTTAAGCGAGGCATAGTTGTTGTCCACAAAACTCAAAGCGTGCAGTTTCACGCCTAGAATAAGAAGATGAGACTTGATCGCGTTTCTCTGTTCCTCTTTTAATATTCATTTGCTGTCGATATCTTCTAGAACAGACCTAATAGCAGAATCTACTCACCCAAACTCTCCAGCGGCAGCCATTATTGTTGTCACCCAAGCGCGCATTGGTCACGTGGTTGATAACGTTACTCTTGATCATCTGTCCATCATCGTATAAAGCCCGCCCTGACAATTTGATTGGATCGCCTGACAGTGGGCTTTAATACTCGCGCTACTATGGAGCAGAGCCAGACTGAACTTCCCCGAACTCAAACCTTGTGGGCGGGACTAAGTTCGGACTGGCACCCAGGCTAGTATAGAAGGCCCTGTAGTAAGATATTTGGATTATTTGAAATAACCTGAGAGCTTTAAGACTGAATTTTTTTTTTCCCATCAAAGACTAACGGCCAGTTAGCTCCTAACTAGAAACATCCAGGTAATCACGCTTGGATATGCATAGTTTGGAAAACCAATAACTGACCAATCTTCCTTCCTTACTCCTTTGCCCTTTGTGCTTTTGCTTTCTTACACCTCAATTCCTCAGTTGGGTTATTCCTTTCCTTCTCCCCTTTTGACTGACACCTTCTTTTTGTCCTTTCTTCCCTCCATCCTTGATCCCTTCATTCCCTTCAGGTTAAAATTTATTGTCCAGATATATTTATCAGCTGTTCACAGAGAAATATCTGCCATAAAATCTCATTGAATGTTTAATATGTTGTATTTTAAAGAAGATAAAAGACTGAGTCTGGAAAAAAACCATTTTTTTTACAGGAGTAGCATGTATGGACCCTGATAATCTATTTATAACTGATGCTTGGATTTAAAATGTACAGGTTTGTTTATACAGCAGCTGGTTCTGTGGCCTCCTCAGACCCACCCTGCTGAAATGAACAAATCTCAGTTGTCCAATCACTATCACAATATTCCAAACACTGCAAAAAAAAAAAAAAGGAGTAAATTTTTCTTAAAATAAGTGTATTTTTTCTTGAATTGAACAGGTAAATGAGACACTTTGCCAATGGATATGAGAATATATATATGAGAAGAAAATAACAACTGCAGTCTCTTATTTCCAGTGCATCATATCCTTTCATCTTATTCTCTTATTCTAAGGGTAATAATACTCATTCCTTTGGCACATTGTCTCATTTACCTACTTAAAATAAAAACAAATACACTTATTTTAAGAAATTTTTGCAATGTAGTGAATAAGGTACTGATATAAAAAAAGCAAAAACATTAAACCAACACACACACGGACACACATATATATGTGTGTGTATTTTTATTCTATCAAGATTGACCGTTACAACTACAATGCTTTACCTACATTATTTTTTTACGTGATGAAATTGATGTTAATACATTTTATTATTCTAAGGTAAAATGTTACTAACAGTTTATTTAACTGATATATTCAGTTTACTAAGAATTAGTTTCTCTAAATGCACAATTTTCCAACGTTCTCATGTGGAGCATGCTAATCTGTTAAGTTAGATTTTTGCTGTTAAAATCAACATATGTTGGTATAAGATGTAATTTTCATAAACAAAGGAATGCATAATAAATTTCCCTGCAGAGACTTGATCACTTTCTTTATGGGTCTGTGTTGCATTATTATTTACAGTCATACATTCACCAACATCTGGCATTATTTACCCACATCAGTCACAGCAGAGTTACTGGGTCAAAGCTCTAATATTGGCTGTTTTCCTTTCATTTGTTTACTGATTTGAGGTCAGGAGTTTCATGTCTTTTTGAAACTATCTACTTTTGATCTGGGCTTTAGGTTCTGCTATGAAGATTTGCCTTTATTGGACCTGATAGATCTCTGTCGGACTAAACATAAAAGATACATGAGTTGACGAGAGGTGAATGTCACTCTTCCACACAGATGGTCTTAAAGCACCGTGAGGGTTATTGTTGTCTTTAACATTGTTGCAACATTATATATTTTCTTAGAGAATATGTAGGACTGTATTTTGGAAGAAAAAAAAGGACCACTGCTGCAGCCTTTCCATCCCTTAAATAGAAGTTTTATATTCTAATTACTTTACCCCCTGTTGGGCTTTATTTTGGACTTTGGGTTATTCTAATATGTACATAAATATTCTGTAATCCAGAATTCTTCACGGTAATTATCCTGCTTAAAGGTAAGCCCTTTTTTTATATATATCTTTAGCCTCTAACAGGTTCTCCTCTCATTGTCCTGCACTTGGCTCCATTTGTCTCCTGCATCAACTCTGACCAGCTTCCCTTCAGTCTGAAACAAACAGCATAATGCTGCCACCTCAAAGTTTTAAAAAAATTGTCATATAAAGCAGGAGTTTCCTATTCTTTCCTGATGTGAAACCAATAATAAATAATCATTACACTCTATGTAAATATAGGTGAATAATAATGTATATTTAAATGAATCTATTTTTAATAGTTGGTATTTCATCATTCAATTTCAAGATATTAATGATCTCAAATGGACATTTAACCCTCTACCAGTACAGTTTGTAACTTAACTGTATGTTAATTTAATAAATTCTACATTTAGTTCTATAGTGGTACCTTTATTTAATGATATGTATTAAGTTTGGCCCCATTTATCTTTGTAAAGATGTGTTATTATTCTCTGACAAACCTCTGACACCTTTATTAATTGGCTTGATTTATACTGATTTATACTAAACCACACTTAAATCTTTAAGTAATTACCCAACTTCTGAGGGCAGCTCCTTACAATGGATCCTATACATTTATGATTAGAGTAGAGGGGCTTTTATTTAGTTCTTTCTTTAGCGATGAGCTAAACTATGAATTGTTTTCCATTTACTTTGTGGGAGTTTTTTTTTTTTATCAAATGTAAAACAAGTCAAGCAGTATAACAATTTTTCTAAGTAGTATAACTGCCTTAAAAGTTTGAGAATCTGAGATTTGAATCTAGTCTTTCTAAGGGGTGGTGTTATTGTGTCAGAGAGCATCTGCATTGAGCTGGATGTATTAGGCTGGCAGCTGAGCGTGCCGCCGACTGTGACAGACCTCTTTGAGCGTCAAAACAAGTCAGAGGGAAGCACCTCCTTGAAAAGTAGGTGCCGCTCTTTCAGGATGTTCTCTCTGGTTGCAGCTTCACTCCTTAACATGTTCTCATGAATATGAAACGGCAGCGCTCTCTCTGTCACACAGGCAAAATATAAACACACACAGAGCCTGTTAGGAATAAGCTGTTTTTTTTTTTATGTCCAACATTTCTTTTGTTTCTGTAAAAACAGGGGAACAGCAGCTTCCATCCCAAAGGAGGGACAGAAGGCATCTCATAATGAACAAACAAGCCAACAAATACAATCTCTCATCGCCACGCCACCCTTTTCTGCCTTTCTTTCCATCTTGTTCTCCTTTTCTGAAACACATGACAACATTTTAGACTCAAACCTGTCCTCTCTGGCTTTATAAGGCTCTATTTTTACTTATGTGTATATGGGATGTCAAAGCAGACAAATTACCTATTTTTTTTCAGCTTTAATATGAGGCATAGCTGCTATAATAAATGCCAATTTTATCATAAGTGTGCAATTTGAAGAGGATAAATGAACTATTATATGCAGTCTGTTGGGGTTGGCAGATTCTTTCAATTCTGTTCTTCTTTCTACCTTGTATCAGATTTGAATTTGCTGTTGTTCGTTTAGACTTTTTTTAAAACACATTTCTGTGTGTTTTTCAGCTCAGGCATCATAATTAACAACAAATAATAGTTACATGGGAGAAAAACAAACATTAGGATAGAAAAGAAAAAAGAATCATGAACACATTCATGATTACAAAGAAACTTTCATTAAAAAAGATGGCAAAATAAATATTTAATCATATGTATATAAATTATAATTAAATAAAATCTCAAGTGAGTATAATCTATGTAAACATAAAACAGATAGGGGGAAATCCTTATCTGCTCCTTACTGACAGATGGCGTTCCACCTACAGGAACATTTTTGGCAATAATACCGTCAGGAACGGGTTTTTTTACTTTGTGGGGAGATGGGGCTGGCATAGCTGCAGACAGAGCAGGGAGATATGTGCTTGCTTGTAATGCTTCAGTATTTCCACTCTTTGTTTCTCTTCTGTTTTCTGCATTTCTGTCTACATGATGAGTGTTTGTCCAAGCCTTCCTTCCTGCTGCTACGCATTTTACAACAGTCATAGTTTCTGACCCAATTTATCCTCCCACTTAATATGTCTAGATTTGCAATTTTGCTGCCGTATATGTATGCTCTGTTGGATTTTAAGCCCACTTGTTTGTTTTTTTTCTATTCAGAAAACATTCTGTCAAATGGCTCAAGATTTATGAAACTTTTCTGTAAAAAAAAAAAAAAAACATATTTTCATTCATCGCTCTAAATGGGTGTTTGTCTAAAGAGATAGTTCAGAAATGAAAGGTTCTTAGGCTCATTATAATTTTGTATAAACTTAGATAAGCTGGCTCTGGAGGCTGCAGCTCACAATTATGAAGAGGCGGATCAAGATCAAAGGGAACCTTTGCTGTTTTAAATTCATTTAATTTAAATTATGTCAAAGCTGTGAATGCTAACCCTACTTTCTTATTATCTATAATATATCAGTTAAAGGTTTTCAAGTTTTACAAAAAAAAATGAACCAATTTCAAATGTTTTTCTTTCACAATTTCTACCCTGCTTTGTTTTACTCTGTTCCTAATGTGACAGAAACAATTCATATCTTCTATTCTCTGCATGTTTCTCAAAATCATTGGTGGCGCACCACCTTCCAATTTCATTTCCTGTGAAAACATTCAGCAGTCGCTGTGTAAGTATCCACCAAATACAAAACATGACTGCAGAGTAGGGATTTATTAATTAATATTGATTGTTAATTTGAGCCTTCAGGTACAAATCACCTGGATTTATACTAACTTATATACTGCTCCTACCTTTTAATATATCCTCGCCATGTAAAATCCTGAACTATCTCTTTAAAACGAGACAGCCTCTGCTTAAAAGAGCAGATTCAAATACCTACATCGAAAAAAAAAACAAAAAAAAAAAAAACAAAAAAAACAGATGCTTTTAGTGCTGACATCTCATCTTCCCTTTGTCAGCTAATACATGGCAGTGAAGCTTAGCCGAACTCAGAGAACACCTCATCTCTATTAGTTCTCTAAACGGTTGGAAAATCTGTCTGAAAGTGTCTTAGAAGGAAACACTTAGGTTCAGATTTGAAATAAAAAGTGCCTCATATCTGGAATATTTCCTTTCGACTGAGTCTGGTAGTAAAAGATGCTGATATATTCAGGTAGATGCCTGCACTGCATACAGGATTCACATCTCCCTTCATGTCGTCAATAAATATTTGAGCAAACTGGGATTCAACAGCATTGTTCTTGTTATTCTTTTCTTCTTCTGCCATTCTGAATCAAAATCAGTTTGAAGGGTACACAGTGAGATAAAATGCCAACCACAGCTGTTTATATTGTGTAGAACTAAGGCCTCAGTAACAAAAAAAATATTTCATTTGGTTTATATTTGTGACAAAATATATGAAAGAAATCATAGCTGTAAAAAAAAAAAAGGGGGGATTACTTTAACAGCCATGACACCCGGTGGAAGGCATTTTCAAGGGTAAAACAATGTTTTGAACTGATTTATGTCCCTTTGGCTTAGATTTGCACCAGAGCCTTCTGCATGAGAAGCACTTACAAAGAGTTTCCTGGTTGCTGCTGGAAAGATTCAGCTGCTCCTGTGGTGGCGCTTCAGGCAAGTTGAGTCATGATGCATCAAAGTGTAAAGAACCCTTGAGGGGAGGCGTTCTTAAAATTGGTTGATACTGGATCCCACCTCATGGAGAGAGGAAGACATCGAGATCAACCATCACCCAGCAGGTGTTTACAGCTCTGATATGTTCCTGTTACATCAGTGGACTGATAGGGTCTGGTTCAGATAGCACCAGTTGGAACACAAGGTCACGATTACATACATCAGATCACAAAATAGCACAATCTTCCCATTACAGCAGCTTTAATAGTTTAAAACCAGGTTTGAATCTAATGTGTTGTTAGCAAGCTTTCTTTGCACATTCATCTTGCTCCATCAACTCTCTTCTCCTATATTTAATTCTTCCCTGTCTACAATCACTTCTCGATACTTTGATATTATCCCTTCAACAACATCTTTCAATAATCTCATCAGATGCTCTATTGCCGGATGCCGTCTCGCTTTACATGAAGTTCAAAGGACTGAGGAAAAAATTCTCAGGAAAATGTATTTCTGGGGAGATGTTGGAGGATTTTTTTTTTCTTTTTTACTTCATAGAGGAAAATCTCTCCTCAGCGACACAACAGCGCTCACTTCAACCTCATTCACAACCTCACACGGACATGACAGCGTTAAAAAAAAAGAAACATCACAAGATAATTTTTTTTACCTTCAATGAAAAAGATAAAAAATGTATAAAAAGGCTATGTACAGAAACTTCTTTCTTCTTTTTTAAAAGGTCTTATCGCATCATGTGAGTTTAACATCTGAGGATTTTTTTTCCCCCTTTTTGTCTGACTGTTAGGTAGTTAAATCAGATAGTTTATTCGTTGTCCATAGATCCATAGACTGAGAGCAGTGGGACTTGAAAACTTGATTTACACAAAACATCCCGCTCACAAACGTCCTCTTTTGTCAAAGTCCATTTAGTTTGACCCTTTTCTTGGTTGATCCTCATGTTTTTGGCTCCAATAAGTCAATTTGTTTTCTACTTTCCAGGTTGCCCCTTCAGTTCAGGTCCATCCTTGACCTTTGACTTTGTCCCCACACTGTTGCTTTAGATAGATGCATTAACAGATGTGGAGGCTGTCATCAAGACTGCCCCTCACTCCTGTGGGCTCTGTGGTAAGGGAAAAAGAATATGGACATCAGTAAGTTATCATAACAGTGTCTCCAATTTAAACTAATTACAATAAATCATGTTTTAAATGTACAAAGCTGTTTTGGTTTTGACTGTGTGCAATTCTTGTGTTATGAATGTCGTGCAAGGTATAGCAGTGAGGGAAATTTTAGTTTAAAAAAATCAAACAAATAGCTACTGAGACAAGGGTGTTTTCCTTCCAATAGTTTGTTTACTTCGAGAGACTTATAACTTTTTCCAAAGCTCCAATTGAACATAAACACATTATTAAAACCCACATTGGATTTTTTAGTTTGTTTTTTTGGTCAAAAGTGTCTGAGGTGGAAGTATCACGTCAAGTGAAGATGCAGTGTTTCGAGCTGCTTTGGAACAAATGGAATTTAACTATATCCCTGGTTTATAGGAATGATTTAAGGCAAACATAAGAAATGAGAAATATACCAAATGAATTTGAGGTTATTTTAAAGTTCCTGAAATGCAACACAAACCTGGCCATGGATACGAACTTGGTTTCATGCATCAGATAGCTGTATCAGATCACATTCACACCATAAATGATCCACTCTGGAATTTGTTTGGGAGAAATAATGGGATCTCCTCATGCAGTCATGGTGCGGTTTACTTTTGTCTGGACCTTGGTGCTAATGCTGGGTTTACAACCACACAGAGAAACAGAACCAATTTAGGAAACAAACCAGTATTTTCTAAATGGACTAAACACCTCTGGTGGTGAAACCCCCATAAAGTCATGCTAATAGTTATACATTAAGCCAGTGGTTCCCAAACTTTTCTTGGTGACCCCCCATGTGATTTAAAAAAAAGTTTTTGCATCGTTTAGCTGTAATGAATTTTATTAAAATTGTCTGTTTTTGTGTAATTGAATTCCTCATTGCAATAAATATATATTCTTCAAATTACTTCTCAAAATTGGTCATCTATCCATTTAATTAGAGCAAGGCCTCCCCTGCAATCACACTAACCCCCCATTAGGGGCGCGTCCCTAAAATGGGGAATCACTACATTAGGCTAACAGGTACTTAGAATCGGAGAGAGAATCATAAAAATCTTTATGGCCGAGTTGGTTTTTACAAGTTTGAGGAATTTGCTTTAGTGCATGCCAACATCCATTTATGTTCTTTTGCTTGTCTCAAGGTAGAAGTTTGAATCTGGGACTGACATCCCAGCTGAGTTGAGAATATTTTGTTTGCAAGTTGGAAAACTGAGGAATTAGTTTTGGTGCCAATCATTATTGGTAATGCAGGACATTGGGTTAATAAGCTATAAAGCATCTAAGCTGTTTAATTTTGTAGTTGCTATTAAAGACTTTCGGTAAATTCTTTGTGCGTGCAGCCATATTAGGTCCCCCGGTTGGCTTAGCGAGTTCTGAGAAATTCTGGGAATTCTATCTTCACATTTTTTTTTCTAACAACAAACTTGGAAAATCTGACTTCTTAGTATATAGAAAACACCCTATAAGACTTGAGCTAATATTTTGTCTAATTCAAGCAAACGGCCACCTAGAGAACATAAAAGCTTTTAATAGTTCAGATAAAGATTATTAACTAAAAATTTTTTTGGATACTTAAGGAAAAATGAACTCGGATAGACCTGTGTTTGTGTTATCTAAGGATAAAGCACAGCAACCAACTTACTCTGAGTCGGGGGAAACTTCCGATATGCTGTGAGAAGTGGTAGACTGGGGTGGGGAAGGCGAGGGTCCATGGACAGAGCCATTAGGACCAGGGTTAGAGGCAGCAGGAGGAGTCAGGACAGAGGAATTAAAAGATGCCAGGATGGAGGACAATATGTCCAGCTGTTCACTGGACGGCTGTCGAACCAGGGGGTTTGGATTTGGGCCTGCAAGTTGGGGGACAGTCTGACCTGGGTACCTACATGAAGGTGCGGAGTCCAGGCGTCCTCTGACATGAGATGGAGGAGGTAGCTGTTCTTGTTGTGGCTCCTCTGAGATCGGGGGAGGAGGAGAAGCAGATAGAGGCTGGTCAGGGTGTGAGGGCTGCCTTGGTGGTAGACTGCGAAGCCACTCCCGACACGGCTGAGCCTGAGCTCCCACCCCGTTAGCCTCCAATTGCTCTCTGGACCTACTGATCACGAGTGGCCCTCCGAGGTGCTCTCGTGACGAGGCTTGTCGGCGAGATAAAGAGTTCAACTGGGACCTGGACCCACTTAGGTATCCTTCCACTCCAGCTCCCACAGCTCCTCCATTTCCACTCAAATCCTCCCTTGAAGCATGGAAGCTGGTCCCATGATGGTTATCCAGTCTGTCCCTGGATCCTGACAAGTTTTCCCTAGATGATGAGACTCGTTGGTGATCCAAGCCTACGAGCCCTGCTCCGAGTCCTAAGCCTAGTTCTCTCCTCCTGGGCAGGAGATCCAGGTTATCCCTGGAACCCCGGGAGTCCAGACGCTCCCTTGAACCCCCCACGGTCTGCCTTCCAAGGGGATCCCGGGACAGTTGCCTCCTTGCAAGAGAGTCCAGGTGCTCCCTCGAGGAGTACCTTGAGGCTGGCTGGGAGAGAGAACCGGAACCTCCGGTTGCACCAGCTGTGGCAGAGTACATACGGCCATAGGAAGCCGCTGGAACACCTCGGTGACCGAGCGTCGAGGTCCGGTACCAGTTGAGCTCACTAGGCACCCTGCCCATGGTGGAAAGACCCTGGAGTGCTGGTTGACAACCAAGGCGGTTCTTCAGGATACCTGCCAAGAGAAAATGAAAAAACTGAGAAAGAACAATAAAGTCCTGGGTGGAGAAAAAGGAGGAATGGGTGGTAGATTTATATGTAAAAAAAGGAAACAGAATAGGGGTAGGTTAAAATTATTTAAAAAAAAAAAGCAGACAGAACTGATGCTTTTAACATTTTAGGTTTGCCCTAAGTCACAGTTAGAGCGGCATGAATCATAATGGAATACCACATCAGTTTTAGATGTGAAAAATGAACATCCTGGGGCAGACATGTAAATGAGTCATTGCTGTGCAAAGAATAAATCTTCCAATGCTCATGCTTTTGAAAATCAGACATCTTATGACAACGGAAGTTTTCAGTTGATGTCTGAAGACATTTTGTGGGAGAATACAAGGAAAATGTTAATATATTAAATATATTAATGTATGAAAATCAAGAAAGACGCAGACTTCTAATAGTATTCTCGCAGCGATGCAAATCAGAAGCGGAAGAATCCTCAAAATGCCCTTTCATCTGATTAAAGAATTGGATGAGAGAAGAGTAGAAAAAAAGTGGTTTTAAATTCTCTCTCACCCTTTCGATGTCTGTGTGGCTGGGTAAGGCCGTTCTCATCCCCACTGGTGAGTGCTGCATCCAGCTGGTTGTTGTTGGCGGCGTCCTTGTTGTAATCCCCTCCAAGGGGACGCTCTGAGCCCCACTTCTGCAAGGTGTCACATTCATCCAGAGCAGGCCAGTAGGACAGAAGATCATTGCCATCCAAATCTGTAGAATGCAAACAGAAGACACTTGTTTTAGATTATAAATATATTTACCAGGGATAAATCATTTTTCCTTTACTATTTACAAAGACAGAAGAACTGGAACATGCATCATTGCAATCATAAAAACGTTTTCTCTTGATTATTATTGATCAACTGGGCTGTTGGAACAAATCTGTGGATTTGAAAGCATATCAATTATACATTCGACTCTTTTGTCTGTAGTTGTAATCCCTGTAAGGCTCTGCTCATAAAATAAAGCTAAAACATTGAATTTGATTGGACGCTAGAGATCTACCGAGCCTTGGATATTCTCCCCATCATTGTCTAATTCTGCTTTTTCAGCTGACAGGTTCTGACATATTATGGTCCTTTAGGGGTTAAGCTTTGTCATTGTCAGTAGAGACTCTTTAGATTGTGACCTTTCAGTAAAAGAGCAACTGACATTAAAAACAGCTGTCTCTCTGCTGCTCTCCCATTTGATCGCAGTGATATATTGATTAGACTCTGCTAGCCATCTGTTCCTTGCCCTCTGCTGTTCAACAGACAACTGTGTTCTTCTGTTAACTTGAACAAAGTTCAACTGATTCAAACTGCTTATCAGGCTAAAAAAGGAACTTATATAGATTTATCGATTGGACGATATTTGGCCTTTGATAAAAACAGTTTGACATTCATGTAATTGTTTTCGAGCGCATATAAAAGGGTATAAGGTATTGAGTTTCAGAAAGAGGAAGGTACTCAATATATACAATAGACATCGACAATTTTCCTGTTTTAGATGTTTAATGTTGTGCAATAAGTGGGCGTGTTTCAGGCGATTAGCAATGATTGCATTCACAATGGATATGATCTGCAAACTGGTTTGATATTGCCCTTTAAATAAGGAGTTTACATGTCCTAGTGGCATGCAACTTTGGGAATGGTGGTAAAAGAAAGATGAAGTTCTGCCATGGAGTTGGAGGTAATCAATATAATTATTAAAAAAAATTAATAATAATATTGATGATAATAATATTGAGGAATGTTATTTTTTAGTACACTAACCTATCTCAAAATGATACAAACCAAAGTAAAAAATAGAACAGATTAAAGATTAAAGAACAAAAGTTTAATTTAAAAGATTTAATATCAAGAGTTAGAAAAGACCATGTAGGCAACTCCTTCCCAATTCTAACCAGACTTATGGCAAATTGAGCTTTAATTCCACACTACACCTACTCCAAAATAAACCAAACCAAGGCAGGTCTATAATAGTTTAATAAAACACGTCTGTGTTTCATACGGATTCTTTCAAGGAAAACTGAGGAAGGAAACTAAATTCCCTCTTACCACAAGAGGGATGTGCACTATAGGAGGATGCATCTATTGGTTGATGTTTGCTCTCAGGTGGCTGTAAATGTTTTCTTATATGTGGTGTGATGCATGTATAATTACTGCCCTCTAAATAAATTTGTCCTGCACAGAAATCTTGCTCTATTTTATTCTATTCTTACATATTCCCATTTCTAAAAGACCAAATATATTTTAATGTGCACAGCCTCTTACTCCATCACCTGTCATTGTATATCTTTCCCTCAGTATTATGTCTATTGTTTGGTCTTTAGAATAAGGTGTGCATATTTTATAAGGCACATCTAAAAAAAACATGAATTGCACCTGCTTTGAAGTTCAGCTTTGCTCATTTTAAAAAGTGTGCATGTGTTTTAATAAATGCAAAACTTTTAGAGTACAGGTCCATGGTGTTTACCATGTAAGTCAAATATTTAAGTTTTTTGTATCTTATCAGAGCATCTTCTTCAACAGGTTGTTGTGTCTACATCTAGGTTTATGGCAAACATGATTTTTTTTAGCTTTCTTTGGACAATGGCTTACCTTTAAACTCTCTTCTACAAAGATCACTACATAAACATCAATTTTCTGTTGATGTTTGTGCATTTAGCAGATGCTAATTAATATTCTATTGATAGAATCTACCATGTGAGCGAAGTAGATATGCAACTCCTCCAGAAATATCATTGCGTGTTTTTTAGAACTTGTCTGATAAATGCTGACTATTTCCATGCCTTTTAGTCTAAGTAGATGTATTTCTATTGTTGATTTTGCATCAGTGCTTTACTCTTAATTTTCTTATCATGCAATGTTGCTGAATGCTTTTTGTTTACTAATGTAACAAACCTTCAAAGCCTTCAGTATTATTGCAGAACAGCTGTTTTCATACTGAGATTCAATGAAACACAAACAGATTCTGTTCTGTTTTAGAAAGAAGAGTCCTTCATTAAAAATAAATAACATTATGGAAAACCCACAGCATTATCTTCATCAGACTGCCAACAGAGTGATTTCAGTCAGAAGCTTGAAGATTTGCTGTAACACAGATGACTAGTAGCAAGAGTAATGGTAAATGTCCCAGGGGATCAATGCTTTGTACTCTTAATTTTATCAAACAGCAAGCAGTAAGAATGATTTATCTTTTTAAGCACTTTTCTAAACATTATTATACATTTATATTTTTCATTAATTGGGTTTTCAGAATTAATTTCAGAAATGAAATCAGTAAAGTCTCTTGTCTACCTTTGGTGCCATTGTTGGTGGGTTCAGTGAGGAGACGCTCGCTATGATTGGAGCGTTTGAATCGCCTCTGGATGCGCCCCCGCAGACGGACATTGTCATCACTCTCAGAGGAAGGGATGGAGAGACTTCGCTCTTCATCCATGGAGAGATCTGAGTCTGAATCAGAATCACCACCTGAATGTGACCAGATGGAAAATAGGAGAGCAAGAAATTTAAGACACAAAGACATTTCTCATCCATGGATGCAATGAAGGTGATCAACTCTAATAAAATCTCAGATATGAGACTGTGATAATAAAGATGGAAATATGGAAAAGATAATTTTTTTAGAGAAAATTTGGAATTTTTTTTATTAAACGTGGGTTGGTGCAAAACATACAAAACATTGATGCTAAATCGCAGTCCTGCATGTTTCCCTGCATCACAGCATGTGACTGGAATGAATAGCCTAACAGCAGGTCTCTACAGAACTTGATCCCATGCTGAGGAGGCAGTTTACCGACTGAATTAGAAGTTTATTGGAGCAACATCACATCTTCATCATGCAAGACACTTCCTTAAGGACTGGAATTGTGCACCACTAATTAGTTAGTGTGTGTCTGCAACCCTGACCTCCATCTCTGTGGAACATGGCTACATCCAGGTCGGTCGCTCCTGTGTGGACGATGTTTTGCTCCAGATTCTGACGTGCCAATAGATTTTCTCTGAGAGAGAGGAGAAATGAGAACAGATAAGAACAAACAACACACAGCAGACCCTAACACATCACAGGGATCCACACACTCATAGTTGCTTGCTATGCTCTATACAAACTCAGTGAGACAATCATTGAGCTCTTAAGACAGCAGCTGCCATTTTAAGGATACATTAGTGTCGCTCTACATGTAGTACAGTACATTGTTAAATCCAATCTTCTTCATCTTTACCCCACTGACCCAAAAAATGCACACAGTGGGGATTTTATTAGGAAATTTCCTCTCGGAGGCAGCCTAACAGCAGCAGAGACTTAATGAATGCTGATGCTCTCATATTTAAAATGATGATCTCTCTGTCATTCAGACCCAGCTTTAGTTTACTCTGTTTATATTTTGGTTGTCAAAGCTTAAAGTACTAAAGAATACATTTTAATGCATTAGAATACAGAATAAATAAATTTGCTGTCAGACCTGTTAAAGATGCAAAAATAGCCCTGAAGTAAATCTTTTTTTTCTTTTTGGTGGCAGTAGCATGATTAACTAAAGAATTAGTCAAAGAATTAGTAAATTATTAATTAGTCAATGAATTAAATAGCCATGTAATACATAACCACATGCTAAACCTTAAAATACAACTTTTTTTATGGAAAAGCAAACAACTTAGAAACTGTATGCCCAAATTACATGTGCAATACATTATTTGAGAAAAAAATCTAAAGACACATTTTATTTACAATGTTGATATAGAAAGTTTGCAGTCACATCATAGGACAGACTTTTCTATAACTTTTAGCGTGAGATTAGCTAGAGCAATAAAAATAACGAAATGATAAATTGTGCGTCAAACTTTTTCCGACGTCTGTGTATTCTAAAGTAACATTGGTGCCTAATATGCTGGCGACAATGTGTGAATATTGCTGTTAGAGGAATACCTCGCCGAGCTGACGGAGGAGATGGTGGAGGTTCCCAGGGTGATGCGGTGCAGCCCACTCTGCTCCAACAGGGATGCATTATGGTAGGGATTCTGGGCCTGAGGACACAATACAACAAAACATACAGGAGGAATTTCAACCAGAGGGCCTCAAGATTTGCAACCTAACAGGGGGTAAAATCTGAGTATTTTGGCCTTTTATTAAGGTAAAGATGACTATAAACTAGTGATGTAAAGAGATCTCTTGAAACATCAGTAGTTTATTGTCAAACTCTAGTATCTCAGAAACACTTCTTTTATCGGCATCATGTTATGGATGAAATATGTAGGCTGTTATTTTGAATGAGAGATATAAAAGTGCATGCAGTGGTTTTTAAGATGTGATGTGTTGACATCAACACAAACATTTTTAAAAGTCTCTGTGATTTTTCCGCTCCTCTTCAGTGCTTCTTTTAAAGCGTTTTTTGTGAAACAAAGGAAAAAATGCAGTAGGTGGCTTGTTATTAAACTATTTCCACCCACAGTCTGGATCTGGCTAACCTCACTACAAGTAGCATCACTTAAATATAGAAATGATTTGATCCTCTCTACTTCAAAATCCAACATATTTAGAGTGATTAGATATTGAATTGGAAACTTAAAATATATGAAAATTTAACTCAGAAAGAAGAGCATCAGTGCTTTTGTCATTAGGATCATCTTAAATAAATCATATTTCCCCAAATATTGTTAAACATGTTGCATCTTGTAGGAATAAATACATATTTTTATGTTTATAGACAGCCTAGAAATAAAGCTTTTTAAATTTTAAAGCAAAACAGATATTTTAATTAACTTTGTCAAACCTAGTTAGTCATAAAAAATAAAATGCGCAAACTATAAAAGTGGAGCAAAGCCCCAGATAGAGAGGCAGCCCTCTCTATTCTGTGCATTATAGAGAATTATATTCATAAATAACATGCAGTAGGACATGAGTCAGGAAGGAGAAAAGCATGCTAATAAGCAGCTGTATATGTTGCCCGTCAAAGTATTCTTCTAATAATAGGTCCGGGCTTCTTCCCCAGATGACTCAGTGATGGAGAGAAAGAGCGCAGCGGAGAATAAAACACACAAACAATTGCTCATCCAAGCACAACCTGCAACACAAATATCTCACGAATGCATTCATGCCTCTCTTGGGGCTCTGTACATATTGTATTCAAATTGTATACTGGGCATACAATGCGCATTCATATAACTTTTTATAACTCACCCACACACTCAGACCGGAGAGTAAAAATAGTGTACTTAACCAAGAAAAGTAGTGGCTAATGTGCGTTCGGCTGAACTAATAAACACATGAGGCAGAAGAAAGAGTAAAGAGGTGAAAGTAGGATAGGATTTTACCAACATGCACAAACACACACGTAGTCACGAAGTAAGTAGCACACAGTGCCTTCGCTGAAGAGGCTAAAGAACAGGCAGAGATCCAGGGGCTGGTGTATTGTTTAATGTGGGTCAGCAGCAAACCCTGAGGGCAGCTGAAGAGGAGCAAACGCAGGACAAGGAAGATTGATGGTTGGACTGAGGGAAGTAGAAATGGAGGACAGGAGGGTTTTTGTGCTGTCAAGTAATGGACACAGTGGAAATGTGCGTCTTAGGGAGAATGCATGGGGATAAAACACAGTAAAAGGATCATGCAGGGATATGGTTTATGGCTTCACAACAGGACTTTAGATTCCCTCTGTGAGTCATTACAGCGCTAATGGCAATCCTGTTGGGATATCAAAGATCATTGAAATCTTTCTGATAATGTTTCCTTTTTATTTCCTGACTAATGTACTGATAACATAAAATACACATTAAAATGACTCTAAAAGAGTTGATATATATAAAATCCATATAAGATTAAGGAAAAACTTACAGTGTTCTGTTGAGGTCTCGGTGGGTCTTCTCCAGGGCTCTTCTTACCTAAACAGGCAACTCTCCAGGCCTCCTGAACTTCGGAGTTCAACACAGTGAAAACCAGCATCACCGAGAGGCCCTGAAACAGAGAAACAGATCAGGAGACCTAAAGGAAAATAACAATATAGTCTGAGATAAAAGTTTTATAAGAGGTAGAGATTAAGAATCCATATGATGCACTTTGTTTTTACCTGCAGTAGGCAGAGAACATCAAATATGTAGTAGAAGGCGAGGATGCTGTTATTTACAGCCATCAGACCGCACAGCCAGGTGGAGGTGGCAACCAGCAAAAGCAAAAAGGCGTTTCGGATAGTAGCACTAAAACAGAAAAAATAAAATAAAAAAATAAAGAAGAAAGAAACAAATGAATAAAGAAATGTATGCACTCCTAAGAATATTACTACTTAACGTTTATATAAAACAGGGGTGTTGTTAGTGATAATGAATGTAAAAAGACTAGTATCCTCATATAAAGTCCACTTTCTGTGAGAGGTTTCTTTCTATCAGTAGGTTTGGTTCCTGCCCACTGTCACATCGTGCTTGCTTTAGGTGGGTGATAACTTCTAAATCAACATAAAATCTATGAAAATACTTTTGAAAAACAAGATTTAGAGACAATACAATTACATTTGTAATGTGAAAAAGAGAGTAGAGAAGGCGACTTACATGACGGAAAGTTTCTTAGTCTCCTTCTGAGATGGGTTACAGGACATCTTGGCTACAATGGTGAAAATCCCTCCATTCATCTGGATCAGAAGAGATCAATAATCACAGTAAGGCAACAAACTGGATGCATTTTAGAAAATCCAATTCTGCTTCTGGGAACATCTGGGATCAGGGTAAACAAATGACAAAAATCAATATGAATGAAATGGTTGCCCTTGGCAACCATTTTGGCTTCAGATAAATGTATCCACACCTCATAGGACAATCATAACCAGTGCATCGCATACCAATTAAATGATCAAATATACGTTAAAACAGATTTAAAAGATCCATTTAAAGGTCGAAGGTAAAGTGAATTCAGTTTGTAGCAGAAACTAGCCATGTTTAACTAGCTTGACCTTTTTACCTTCAAAGTGAAGCTTTCTTCATGATTTAGAGTTTGTTATTTTAAAGAGGAAGCCAAAGAAATATAATGACAGTTAGGACTTCACTGTGTACCAAACAATGATCATTGTCTCAATCTACTTCACTGCTTTGTCAATTTTCTCTTTAGCTTTGAGTGCTTCTGTAATTAAGTGCAGTATATTAGATGTTCAGGGAGACAATTACCAGTAAAACAATAGCAACAGGACCAGCAAAGCTCCAGATGAGTTTGTCATACATGGAGATCCAACAGAAATCTGGGTTTCCGTAACCTTCCGGATCCAATCCGACAGCCAGGCCTGCAAAAAAAGACACAGATAGATAAGACACTCCAGCCACCTCTGTTATGTCTACTTTTGCCACAAAGATCCAGATAAAGCACTGAGACATGCAATGCCTTACAGATGTATTGACGGCACCGCTTGATTTACAACCACAAACTTCAAATTAAAGAGGATGGTTCAAGGGTTTTAGCATTTTAAGAAAAAAAATCTGATAAGACTGGAATTCCATCATTGAAAAATTGGCAAACATATTGGCATATCTACCAAGACATGGTCATCCACCTTAACTGGCAGGGCAGCATAAAAAAGCATTAATCAAAGAAATAGCTACAAAACTCATGGTACTCTGGACTAGCTGCAATTGTCTGCCACTCAGGTAGGAAAATAATTTGACAGGAAAAATATTAGGCCTACACTTTATTTGGTGCTTGTGTAAAAACAGAGTAAGAGCCACAAAAATGGCAGTAGCCTGTAGAGAGAGATGCTGCTTAAGAAGAGTATGAAAATGTATGCTGGGAATCAGGGAATCGTTAGCTTTGGTACCGCATACTCTATGTGTCTTCTAGATGCCAGTAAGAGATGCAGTGTTCAATAGAGAACAGTAGTTCCTCTACATTTGACATAAGATCCCTCCAGATCAGCGTACAGATCTGGGCTATTCAATATAAGACTGGTTGATATAAAAGCCTTCCTTTGTTAGGCTTGTTGCTAGGTCTTTCAGGGTGATCCACTTCCTGGGGTATTCTTACATCAGCGGTCTAAAGGTGACTGACCCCGATCTTACACAACATAAATTTAGGCATTATGCCGTGGAGAGGGAAGCTGAGAGAAAGATATTTGTAGCTGAATACTGGAGAATAGACTTCATCCTTAAACTTACAGTCTGAGATGCAACAGGACAGTTTAGCTCAAATCAAACTGTTAAAATGGTTCACTCAAAGTCTAGTCCAAGATCCAGTTGAACATCTGTGCCCTTACTTAAAAAAATGTAGTTTGCTTTTACATTCTCTTCATCCACTCTGACTAAGATTAAGCTATTTTGCAGAAGTGGGAGTGTTGGTCTAGTGGTTAGAGCAGTGCGTTTGTGGTCTGAGAAGGTTGCAAGTAGCCAGTTCGATCCCAACAGCCTACACTCTGGGTCTCTGAGTGAGACCCATAACCCCACACTGCTCCCCGGCTGCCAGAAAATGGCAGCCCACTGTTTCCCAAGGGCGATGGGTTAAATGCAGAGGTACATGGTAATCAATAACGTTCAATTATTAATAGTATTAGAAGAATGACAAAAATAACTGTCAACAACATTGAGCGATGCATCAAATGGAGACAATAGTAGAGATATGCTTATATATATATATATATTTATATACCGTATATATAAAACTGGACTATTGGATCAGGGGACTAATTACAGATGAAGGCCATACTCTTACGATTCTTATTTTCAAAAGAACAATGAAGGACAATCATTTTTTATTTGAAATTTACAACTATGCAACGCCTTGTGTTGGCAGACCAACAACAATACAGACAATATATATATATATATATATATATATATATATATATATATATATATATATATATATATATATATATATATATATATATATATATATATTGATCTTGTGTTACATGTAGCTGCTTTGAAAAGTATTAAGTAGTTTGGTTGTAGCCTTGCTGTAGACATCAATGCCAAGGCTCTGACATTCATGCTAATGTATATTTGAAATTGAATTGCAAAACTATAAGAGACAGGAAAAGCCTAAATGAGGGCAGACAGACGAGCACACCTTTTATGCCTAAGGCAAAAAATGGTGCGTTGTGTGTCGCTGAGTTTGTGTAAGGTAGAGGGAGACTGATCCGTTCTTGAGGCAGGCGCTTGCAGGCCTGACAGCAATAGAGACGGAGGCCGATAGAGGAGAGCTGACAGCATGTCATGGCTCTAGATGGAACCTGTGTGTGTGTGTTGGTGTGTGTGTAGGAAGAAGAAAGAAGTAAAGCTGGCAGGTATTACATGTCTCATGACAGTAATTGCTTGCTTGTGAATCTTGGCTTTACTATCTCCATATTAAAATGCCACTGAAACTTTTTTATTACAAGTGTCAATAGCAAAGCTTATCTGCACATGCTCGCTCTGAACCAACATGACGGATGTGACTGTGCTGATCCTGCGTGAGGCAGTGTTTTGCCATGGAAGCATAGCTAAGGCGAGGCCTGACTGCGTATCCACGGAGATGTGTTTCCGTGTTACCTGTGATGATGGCAGGCACGCCCCAGCCGATGGCATAATAGAACCTCATGGCTCCATAGTTGATATTGCGCTGCTCGGTCTGCATTCGGTAGATATGAAGACCCTCGACGAACATCCAAGCAAATGTAGACATGAAGAAGTAATGCAGGAGGATGGCGACGACGGTGCACAAGAACTGGAAGGAACAGAGAGAGAGAAAGGAATTAAAAACGTGGGGAAAGAAAGAAGAATTTAATATGACGGGATGCACATGGATGTGCAAAAAGAAGGATAGAAATAACAGCAAAGAGAAAATAAAATAAAAGGAGAGCAGTTAAAGCTCCATTTCTATACTGTAATGTGGTGCATTTATTTGTGAATTGCAATCACCTCTAGCATAACTTAGAATACAAATCACACAAACCAATAAAAACCTCACAATAAACTCTTAAAGTGAAGAAATGTTTTCTGAGGACGTTCTGATGAATTTACATATAAATAATGCAGAAAACAAGCATTTAAACTGTTAGAAATTACTGTCGTACTGCATGGAAAAATGTTGGAACTCATTTGTTTAAACTCTTTTTTTGTCTGACTTGTTTGTTTGGAGAGATAAAGCTGTCCTGCTTAGAATCACAGCACTGAAAAAGGCATTAATCCTCTGAGGGGACCGTGGGGCTAAAACCAGGAAGATAACCAAAACAACAGTGCTCAATTTAGGTATTTTTAAACATGGAGACTGTAAGGGAACTTTTTATTTGAAGCCTTGCATGCACACTTAAAAATATAATTGCTGCAACTTTAAATCTTAAGCAGTAAATCCTGCTTTGGATTAGGATCTACTTTGACTTCCTCCTTCTGCCAAAATCCTGAGGGTCGACTAAATGTTCTGTTTAATAAACTGGTCTCATCTGAGCCATTTCAACTTTTGACCAATTAGTGTTTCCTAAGATTAGACACAGTTTTAAACACTGACTGTTTCCAATTTTTTTTTTTGTCATACCATCCCAGTGAAAGTCTTTTTAAGAAGAGGACTGAAATGCCCTCTGGTGTATAAAACACATCCCCACGTAGCGTTGCTTCCCTGCTGCTCCTCCATGCCTGTAAGCTGGCCAAAAGAGAGTTCTTATACTTTTCTCTGATTTACAAAAAAGGATTAATTTGACTGTTAAAAATATTCTTCAATATGCAGAAAACATTGAGAGTCATTGAGGAAAACCTAAAGAAGCAGTGATGCTGTCTTGCTAAGAGCCTTAAGTATAATAAGGTATATTCTTTATATGTATACCGTAGTATAATCTGGTTAGAAGATGGCTACCTCAACAGATAGCCTGACCAAGCAGTTCATATCAATTACTATCAAAATTAAAACAAGAAAGGCTAAATTGGATAGTTATGCACAAAGTGCTTTTAAGAAGAAAACTTTAGCCCATATTCTACATTTTTGCAAAAGTGTATTAGAGTTAGAAAAACAAAAACAAAAAAACATAAAATTTCCAAGATATTAAGAACATTACTATAATTTGTGTGTTCTGATCCAATTCCAGTTATCGGATAAGAAAATTAGTTTTAGAGGAGTTCTGAGACATTCTTCAAGTTTTTAAATATCATTGCCTATTCTTGTGCGCTCTGCTCAAAAATGTTTTATAATAGGCAGCGCACGCTATATTGTTGGACAAACATAGGTTTTTATAACATTTTTCTAATTTGCCCAGTAAGAGAGACTGTAAGTGCCAAAAGCGTTTCAAAAAAATCGGATGTTATGTGGCAATTTTCTCATCATGGAATGTTTTCATTATGAATATGCTGGATTACTTTTAATCTGTAGACTAAATGAGTATAACCCATTGATAATTGGATTTATAAAATGGCTTCTGCATGCCTTCAAAAGTATGCTGTCGTAGCTCTTTTTAATATTTACATTTTCACATGCTGCTATATCTGCATTAATTGTGCTTTGGTGCTCACTGTGGCCATAAAATAAAGTTGGTGGAGAATCTAAGTTTTTTAACGATTTCTAACCTGTTCATTTTGGTAAAAATTTTATGCTTGTAATTTTCATGTGTTCTGATGTTAGGTGAAAACGGATAAAAAGGTTGCCAGAAACTCGATAGGTTTTTTTTTACACAAATGTATTGAAAATGATAATTTAATCCCATCTATGAAACAAGGGTTAATGATCATAACCCTGTCCTAGAAAGAAACCAACATAGCACACATGTTACTTTTCTGCAGGAGAGGAGAGTGGAACCAGAGGGAGAATGACACTACCTGAATGACTGGGCTTAACTCTGCCGAGACATCGATCTCTTCTGACTTTATTATTGGACTTCAAAGAATTGTCAGGAGGGGTCACAAGTTTACAACATACAGTACAAAGAGTTGTGCAGTTTTATTGCGAGTGGTGATCTGTAACCTACAATCACACAGCTGAATAAGGCACGAAATTTCCCTATCTGGGAGAACCATTTGTTCTCCCTGTTTGAAGTTGAAACAACCCAACGTTCCTGCAAGCCAACTCTTGATACAGGCCAAATGCCTGTAACTCAATACATTAAAATTATGATATTTACATTTTTTTACAATATTATTACCCGAACTAGCAAAAGATGTAAGATATATCGATCATCCAAGGTGATTACCTTAATTGAGGGTAGATAACAAATTATTCACCTTGATCTTCTCAAATTGACTGAAAACTGATTTGTGACAGATTATCCATGACAAACCAATCAGGATTCAGAAATAAATTTCAAAGAGAGACTTACGTATCCCTCAGATTTGACAGTAACACAGGATTTAACTGTGTGCTTCTAAACCTTTCTAGCCTCCTATAGCCTCGCCTTATATATGTTTGGGTAAAAGAAAGCAGAATGGAAAAATCTGACATTTTAAAGCAAGAGAAGCCAAGTGCAAATTCTTACTGAAAGCCAAGGATGACGTAAAAAGAAAAAAAAAATAGAGAGCAAAGTTGGCTGCAATACAGCCAGACGATGAATTTCACACTCCCACACACAAACGACTCCCCCTCCCCCAAAGAAACACAGAAATATGCACAAACTCATAAAAATGAATACACAGGACAGCTGCGAGCACTGACACGCTTTCCAGAGCGTAATGTTCATGAGTTAGAGAACATATTTTTCAGCTAGGAGGTACCACTCGCTCTGTAAGAAGCTTACAGTCCACAGCGTGGTGGGATACAGCTTAATTAATTGGATTTCACGCTGAGCGAGCACATATTTGAACTTCCCTCTCTGCAAGATTCACTGCTCTTAGAACACACTCCAACACGGGAACACGTGTTACGTAACAGACAGAGACGCAGGGGTTAGGAGAAACAAAAGGGAAAAAGAAACAAAGAAGAAAAAAAAAAATAGGAAGTCAGGGAGAACACGTACAGAAACAAACATGATTCAACTCATAACAAATTAGGATCAAACATTAAATGAGACTGAAAGAGATTAGCAATAATCAGTTTAGATAAAAACTTAGGATAAAAAGACAGAAATTAAAGCTTTCTCTGTTTATATAAGTATATATTTCTATACATCATATACCAATCATATATAATTAGTATGGAAATGTAAATTTCTCCAACATGACAGTTGAGTAACAAAAGAAGTTGTTGGACATCATTGGAAAATAAGGTTAAAAACGAAACCAAAGTCATCATCACCTGTTGTTCGGTCTGATTGACCCCGAGCAGGTACACCAGCTCTGACAAAAACATGGCCGCCGCTATGTTCGAGTGGATGCTCCTAGTGTTGGACTTTAGGCCACGGAGGCAAGACAGCGCCAGGACAGTGAGGAGAAGGGCCAGCATGGAGACACACAAGGAGGAGTAAGTCACCAGCGCCAGAGTCTCCAGATCCCCCTCTAACTGCTGCTCACACACAGTGGAAAAGACAGAAACATAAAGTGAAATAGAAGAAGAAAAAATAAATAATCATATACATAGTTTCATCTGACTTGCAGATATCTCTCTCTATAAATTGTGGTTTTTGTGTCATTTGAACACCAGCTAAGCCAGAGTGGGAGATTTTTAGAGACATAAAAAACATCTTTGACCTTAACATAAACCCTGTTTAGGCCTTTGGACAGGCATTGTCCTATAGGACTCTGTGTGGACTTCATGGTTTCATTCTGAAGCAGCAAATGAGCCCCATACCATCACACTTCCACTTCTGGGTTGTTTTGGTATGTTTGTTTATTTATTTATTTTTTTAATTTATTCTGAAATGCTGTTAGTTTAACTCTATATAGACTAGAATGTACACCTCACAAAAAATCTTGAAAAAAAAAGTTATTCTTGAAAGAAAAAAGACACTTTCAGTGAAATGTGATGGAGAGTTTTCTGTTATTTTCAGTCAGCAGAAGCTTTTATCTTGGAATCACCAATGCATGTCGTTTTTACTTCAACTAAGGCAAGGGTAGCCTGAAGTGTGTTTTAGATTGTTCTGCATTGTTGCGGGACCTCCGGGATGAGCTGTCTGTGTAATGTGGAAGTTATTCTGGAAGGGTTACCACAGTTCTGTGCCTTCATCCGTTTGTATCTCTCAGTGAAATTAAGGAGCCCAAAGCCTTACTCAAAGGTGCATAGCCCTGTATCTTCTATTCTATTTAACTGATTTCTTGATTCCCCCTGTCTGGCATTGGAATCACTTAAATACTCTGTGAAATTACACTTGGATATAAGAAAATAAAGTTTATTAAAAGTAAATTCATAATTTATCGAGAATGTCCTTTTTCAGTTAAACAATTGAATAGCAATTTCAAAACACACTAAAGCTATGATTAATTATATAGAAAGGCTTGACATGATGCCTTGTGTCTTTGCACTGAATACAAACGTTTTCCTCCTAATTTTTTTTAATGAGCTGAAACATTTAAAGATGTGATAAAAAGCAAAAATAAGATAAATATGTAAGGAGCAAAAACATTTTTCACAGCTCTCTAAAGCCTCTTTCCAACTGAAGATACCACACTAACGCGTTACTTTAAACACAGATTGACCCGCTTACAATCGACATTTGGCTCCCCTCCCACTGGCAAAAAAAAACAACCCTTGGCTGGCAGCTGCATGGTCTCTGTCCCCCCATGGCTGCTTGTCTGGTGAGACCTTCATGCTGGTTTAATGATGTTACCAGTGCGACAGAAACCAGGAAAGTCGCGAATAGAGAGCAACATGTAAGAAAGCCAGAGTGAAGCAAGTGTGCTTTTTTGGCTCTATTATCTGTCCCAATCCCTCTCAACAGTTCTGCTCCAAGTTTATTTAATGTAAAGAGAGTTGTTTCGGCTTGTTAGATCAGAAGCGTCTGGCGTGGTGTGTTCATATCCGTACGTTGTGCTCAGTGGTATCACGTAATTTAGAGGGTCAATCCGGGTCTGGTGTTCCAATAGCGTGCAGATCAGAGCCGAGGCGATTTTAATGTGGGTCGCTTGCGAAGTCGCTTGACCCGAGTAGACACGCATCAATGAGATGTAGCCACTGCCACTAAAAGCCAATTGTTCCCGGGTGTAAACTGTTTTTTTAGCCAGTAGGAAAGAGGTATTATTTCTTATTTAGTAGCAAACTATACACTGACACGCTCCACCCCACTGCACATGTAGTCTACTTTACAAAGCTGTCCACAGTTATATTCATGTCTTAATATGTCACAAAATCCCCATCATTTCTTCACATAAAAAAGCATTGTATTTTCTTCGAAAGGTTTCCCTTAATTTCTTAATATCGATTATGTAATGTCAATTATGTAATTGACAATGAATTAATAGTTAAATTTGTTCATTTAGTGGTTCCTTTAGTTACAAACATTTCTTAGAAGATTGTATTAAAGCTGGTAGTTAGAGAATAAAAGGACTACAGACTCAACTATTAGACTGATAAGTGTGTCATGGTGAACCCAGAGATAATGTCTGCAGTCAACTGCTTGCTAGTTTACAGAAATTACAAAAGGAGATATAATTTTAAACACGACACAGTGTTCATTTTTACCTCAGATTAATACAGTTGACAAAAACCTTAATAATAAAAAGTTTAATTTCAAGTTGGAGAAAGTTAGCCACAAGATTCCAACAGCCTGCTGTCTAACTATCCAAATCACTGGGGTGGTAAAAAGCTCAAAGTTTTGCCTTAAGCTTCAGAAATCTCCCTAAGATTTGCCCTGTGATCATCATTCTGCTTTTTTCCTCAGAGTATCATATCAAGAAATGACCCAGTAAGATGTTCAGATGAAAAGTAAATAGAAAATCAGGCACAGTTTTACTTAAACATTGATCTAAATGAAGTTTACTGCATGCCATATCATGAAAGAACTTATCATACAAATGAGCATTAAGTCATCATTTGATTTTAATATGTAAAGGTGTCTCACCTCTCTATGGGAGCTGTCCATCAGCACCCCGAAGGTGCCCAGTCTCTGGCACTGACAGCGGACATGAGAAGTATTCCTGTACACCACTATACAGTCCCTCACTGTCCAGCAGCCGCCGCTCTCATGTCTGCAAAAAGACAAGTTCAAATTTGCAACAAGAGTTCTTAAAAAAAAAAAAAAACATGGATGATATCTCCTTATAATACTAGAGGGAAATTTTTGGATTGTCTAAGGAAATTATAGAGAGCACTGAAGCCCAGCTTTCGATCCACTGAAAATGAAGTATTCTCTGATATATGCCTTATAGTACTGAGCTATCATTATTTTACATTTACACGAATGTCAGCCATGACCGGTCTGCAGTGATTAAACTGTGCTAGCTTCTTTAAACAGTCTAGAAAACCATGCTAATATATTGCCCGAATCATAGGGGGTTGCATGGTGGAGCAGTTGGTATCACTGCTGCTTTGCATTAGGATGGTCCGGAGTTCAAATCAAAACCTGGGGTCTTTCTGCTTTGTGTTCCATTTAATGCATGGGTTTTCTCAGGGTACCCCAGATTCCTTCCACAAAATATCACTGCTTAGTCTATTAATTGCTTTAAGCTAGATTTTGTGTTTACATGCACATTTTCTTTTTGTTTGTTTTTTTTGTTTTTTTCTGTGATGGACTGGTGACCTGTCCACTATGGATATAAATATAAAAAAAGGGTAAGGGTTTGGATACCTCACTGTTAAATGCTCTATCTATCTTCTTATACAGTCTTGGGCATTTTCAGGGTCAAATTGTTATCATAGCCATCCATAGTTCTGTTTTGGCGCAATGGCCTTACACTAAATGTAAAAGGAGAATTCTGGAGGTTTGATTGGACCTTAATGCTGTCAAATGTGTCCAATCCAAAGTGAGAGTTTGTTAGGCAAAATACCCTCTACACCAAGTCTCCTATAATCCAGAATCAATCGTCATTGCTTGAATCAAATTTTTTGTTTAATAAGAAAATTATTATAAATCCTATCTTGAAAAAGCATCAGCATCAGTGATTCCTACAATTTGGTGAAAGCACCACTGATTTACTTCATTGTAATAATTTGTAACCTTTATTTATGTAACTTTTTTAATTTATTTTTTATCATATAGTGTGCATTATAACAAACAACAGAAATAGGGAGGTGATACAGTTTGAGAAAGGAAAAGCAGAAAATATGCATAAACACAAACATGGAAGTAGCATAGATTGATCATTATCTTGTCGTTAAGAAAATAAGTGAAGAATGAAGTATGATCATACCTAAAGTAGTTGGATAAATAAAGTATGAGAATACTATATTTTTGTCTTTAACATAAGTCATATTATGACACAAGCTCTCATTAGTACGCAATACTTCAAATCAGTGTGTAACAAATTGACTATATTGCATTATTTATAAATTTCTTTAGGTGCCTTTAGTATGGAAAATCCCGCCCCAAAAATTCAACAGAGAATGATAAGGTGGTAAAATGCAGATGCAATGACAAAGACAGTCCTATGAGCTCACTATTGCATTAATTTGCTATCCAGTCCCAACATGGAAATCATTCATACATGTGTTGATCAGTACTCACGGACTGCTGTGGTTCCACTGCACACAAAGAGGCTTGCTGCGATTGGCTGTCTCCAGCAGTTTAAACTCCAGGAGTATGGGCTGGTCCAAGTGACCGCCGACAAACGTCTGGTTGTTGTAGACAGAGATGGTGACCACCGGGGAGTTCATAACCGGGTGTCTGGGAAGCCTGAGAGAAAGAACGGCATTTTCCATTAGTTTATTAAACTGACAAATTAATGTTTTATTTTATGTGGCAAACAAGTAAGGAAGCAGGATTTGCATTTAAGATTTTCATTGATGCAAACTGGAGGGCTCGATGCTATGTAATTAAGCCCAGAGGAGAGGTGAGAGACGGCAGACGGGAGAGAAAAGATGGCATTAGAAGACTGGAAAAAAAGAACAGATGTCAAGTACGGCAATACTGTAATTAGTGCGAAAGCAGTTTCTCCAGCAACCTCTAAGCCAGTTGACTCATATGTCCATTGGTTAACATTCCCGTCATTTATTATGAAGCATTCAAAAAGTCTACAGTTATTTTTCTCTAAATCAGAAATTTGCTTGATTTTCATTGAATCATGTTATTAAAGGTGGGGAGATTAACAAAGGATCCTTTTAAATAAACCAATGAAAGACAAAAAAATGAGATAGTTGGAGCCGTTGTCATTTCTCACACAGTAAATTATCAAAATGTTATAAAATTTTATCAGTTTTGGAGTGATTGATCCCACCTCACTCCTCTCCGGTCTGCGTGGTACTTTGGAGGCAAAGCAGCCCCAAGGCTGCGATAGATCAGCAAGATGACGATGGTGATGGGTGGGTCAGTCACTAAAGCACTGCGCCTAGCCGCAGTGTATTCCTTCGTTTGATTGGCTGAAATGCTAGCAGGGGCCGAGGCGGCACTCTGAGGGGGCGAGGCTGGAAAATAAAAGCCTGAGTCAGAATTTTTTCCTGCCTTTCAATCTCTGAAATTCTAGTGGTTTCATTTGTCATTCTTTACTTACGTTCTTTCTCTAAACGCTCTTTGTCCTTTCTGCTGTGTTGCTGTCGTTGTGGCACCAGGGCAGCAGGTGGTAGTATCACGTGTGTGTAAGGGTCCCATACAGCTTGACCACGGAACAAGGTGTTGTGATAACGTGGGAAGCGCCGCCGGACGTGGGTGTGGTTTTCCACGCGGTCCAGGTTCATAACTGAGGGACCGACAAATGAAACTGAATATTCTGACCGTTTTGGTTTTATATAGGACTGAGGCAGGGCATGAAGTATCAGGTAAACTAAAAACATATTTCTACTGTATGCATGATGGATTTACTTCCTCAACTGTCACTGACAGCTGTAAACAGAGACTGATCTATGAACATCGGTTACGGTCAACATAAAGTATTAGCTTCAGGCTATTTGAGCTGACATTATTACATTATAATACTGAAAAATATAACTTATGCTCTGCAGTCTTCTGCTACAACAACACATCTTGAGACAAGCTTTTTATTTATATAACCCCCCGGATCAGTTTTTACTCGTCTAAACAGTTGTAGAAACAGGTCTATAGCTTTTTCTTCCTCCCGCTTTTTCTTTGCAATTCTTTTTTGTTTCTCATCTGTCTATTTCTCTGAGGCTTTTGTTTATTTTTTCATCTCAGACTTGAATAGTACAATTCAGACTTTTTTGCATCTCAGCATCTCTTTTTAGCATCTGCAAAGCGTTTGCTTCTCCATCAAAAACTCATAGTTTTCTGTCGGTCTGCATTCTGGAAACGCCCTGCATTTGTAACGTTCGTATATCTCAGGCTATCAAGGACGCATTGGCAGTAAAAAATAAACTGTTATTGGCTATCTGTCAAAAAGAAAATAACCCCAGCAGCTCTGAACAGATCTGACTGATGGAGTATTTCACTATTACGCTCTAACTAAAAATCTAACATATTAATTTCAAGGGATTGTTAAAAAATAAAATAACAAAAAAATGCTTTGTATATCCATCAGCTGGTAAACTGAAGGAATTAAATAAATGCAAACAAAAGAGAAGCTACATTCAGTTCGGATCAATCAACCAAACTGTTCTTTAAAGCGGATATTTCAACATGTCTGCAGCTGTTTTTGTGTAAATATGGTTTCTTTGACTAATTCTAAAGGAGAGGTGATTTAATTTCCATCATTGTTCAATAAATATTAAGTTGGTTGGCCCCTATAGCAAAAAAAAAAAAGTTAGTAGATGAAATAATGTATGAAGAGATGGATTTCTTTCTCTTTATCTTTTTCCCATGGTATCTATCTCTCTTATTTGCCGGAGGGCAGAAAATGTCTGCATATGTGTGAGTTGGAAAGAGCAATCCAGTATCAGACATGTCTACTGGTCCCTCTCCTGTCACCAGTCATTTTATTTCTATGCCCACCTACTGAATATCTATTTCAGGCTTCACTTTATGATCCTCTGAATTCATTTTGGACGTGTTTTAACTTGACACAAACATTTAATAAAGAGAATAACAATTCTGATTTAAAAAAAAAAAAACTGAAAAGAATCAGTGACATATAACTAAGGTGTGTTTTATGAAGGTAAGACTTGAAAAAGTTTGAATTTGTGTGTCTGGCTGCTACCAATAAACAGCCTCTATAGCTCTGTGGTACAGATTAGTGTTTTTATTCTTAATGTGCATAATTCAATGTCTGGATTTATACTATGAATCTTTAATTGCAAATTGATTTGTCAATTGCTTTCCAGTTTTAAGTGATAATAGATCCTATTAGTGTATGTCTGTAACATGTTTGCATTCATGTCTCGTGTTCCTCAGCGTGCGTGTGCGTTTGGCATCTGTTATTCTGAATGGTGCATTGGCCAGAGCTTCAGCGCCTCAGGGTTTTTGTGCATGTGCTCATAGAATTAGCTGCTATGTTTGTGTGGGAGTGTGAAATTCAGTCGTTTTGTGCGGCTGCCAAAGACTCCGGCTGTGCCATCGTCATTTGCATTAGCGCTCTTCATCTCCCGCTTCACATTGAGTCATTTTGGGTGATTTCACAGCAGAGATTTGAGGAATTATAAGAAAACCAAATCAAATTCTGTTAGGATTGAGATTTCACAACTGACTCATTCATTTTTATTTGTTTTAAGAATGCTGTGTGTGTCTGCCAGTAAGAGTTAACATCTTCTTACCTATGTTGGGTGAGACCAAGGCCACAGGGTTGAGGTAGGTAAGTTTCATGTTCTGGGCCAGGTTCTTGGAGTACTGTTCCAGCAGCTCCGTCAATTCAGCTGGACCACCACCGAGAATGTGATTCTGACTCTGAGCAAGAGCCCGCCAAAGTCCTGATGTACCGGGGCCCAACAGCACGCTGCAACCTCTCAGGATGTTCTGGAACCAACAGAGGGATGAACAATATAAAAATGCAGAAATAAATAGAGGGTGCAATCAAATATGAGTTGGGTTTTGATTTTGTCCTGCTACAGCCACAAACATCTGTTCATTTTAATTGGTTTTTAGTGTGAGAGACGAAGACATGGTAAAGAAAAATAGTTAAATTGTAGAAAAAAGTAATATTTGTCTAAAACCTAAACATTTTCAACACCATGTACCTCCTTCTCTGGCTATAGAATATCTCTACAAGCTTTTCTGTAAAACAGCTCAGGATCAATTAGTCGACAATTTTCAACTCTTGCTGCAGATTCCTCATTGGATAAAGATCTGTACTTTAACTGGGCCAATCAGAGACATAAATACGATTTGATGCTAATCATTTCATTATAGCTCTGACATAAACACATAACCTTACATAAACCATTCACATAAACCTCAATGCTTTTTACAGCTACTGCAGGTTTCTTTGAGGAACATCTTGTATCTTTCACAGACCATATTTCCATCTACCACATCCTCTGACCATGCTGGAGAAAAAAAAACACACCCTCACTGTTGGAGCAGTGCAGTGCAGTCTTAGTTTTATATTACATTCAGGGCGTAATCTCCCATGATTTTAAACAAGAGGTGCTAAATTGTACGTGCACATTTTATTTGATCTACAAATTTAGCTGCATAAATGTAAAGACTTGCAAACCAGTTTGGCTAAGCGCCATTAAAATGAGCAGATGGCATGCTCTACAGACAGTATGAGTGGTCATAAAAGAAAGATGAGGTTCAAAGCCATTAAGATGGAGGTAGAAATTATAGTTATTGAAAAAAAATAAAGCTTATTCTAAATAATTTTTATACTGCCTATATTTATATTCTAAAAGCACAGAGAACAGGTTATGATTAAGAAAATAAAGGGAGAAAAACCTCCCTGTTGCAATAATATGCACACATCCCCGTGAACCCCACCTCCCTCCAACTCTCCTACATCCCTATGTCTCTTTGCTAGCTATATTTAAGTTCAGTCATTGCTTTTAGATTTGGTGTAATTGATTCAGTTGCTTCCATTTAGCTGCATTAATCTCTGCCAGCCTATCGACTATTTTTCCTTCCTTTATTGCTATTTCTGATGGTCCAAGTATGTTTACATGCACCCAGAATCTCTCTCCATCCTCTAACATTATACCAAAGCCTCATTCACTGCCACAATGACCGCAGATATTTTCGCGTGTCAGTTTGTACCTGACTCTCCAAACCAAAAATATCCAAAGGCTGCTGCAGCAGTTGAGTTTCTGATTTTGATATCCCTTTGCACGTGGTAAATGTTTAAATTTGCATATCACCCACCCATGAATTTTCATGGTTGGGCCATTAGATGCTGATCAGTATATTGATGAAGACAAAAGCACAAAAATGGTTTGCACATGTTTTCTGTTGAATTGTGAATGCAAATCACTTCTTTAAAGATCTGAACTGCATGTCCAAATATCTGTTGTAAGACATTTTAACCTACAAAGGATAAAACACATAGGGTTCTACACGCAGGCCAGAAATTCTGATTCTGTCTAAAAAACTTTTCTACAAATAAGAGGGGTCGACAACAAATTACTTGTTGTCACAGTCTAACGTAATTCCTATTCCACTCCCCTCACAATGGTTATAGCACAAACTATTAAGGGTTCTAAGATCTCTGACCATAAAAATATTATTCTGCTTGGAGCTCCTATGAGATCTATTTGGATTCCCTGATTCTCTGTTTCCTGTCTACCACGTCAAGTTAACTGATGGCATAGTGGACTACTCCCTTTTCCTTTTCTAGCCTCAGCTTAGAGTTTCTGGTGAATCATGTTGCTCACTCTTATTTACATTTTAAATCAATTAATTCTAGATGTAGGAACTTTATCATATAACTTAGACAAATTAATAGCCAAACAAGCAGTGAAGTAGAGCTGCAACTAACTATTATTTAGTAAATTGATTAATCTGTTGATTATTTCTAAGATGAATCGATTAATAATCAGATCACAAAAGGTTCCTTAAAGTCTATTTTTGTAAGGAATTAAACCAGATCAAACTTGATCTTTTCTACCTGAGGAGTTCTGGATAGAGGGCATTGACGGATGAAATTTTTTATCATAAAGGCAAAATATTTATATATATTCTTACAATTTTGGTATAGCTACTGCTCTATCAGCTAAAGGCATGTTTTAGTGTCTCTATACTCAAGTTAACAATTAATCAATTACTAAATCAGTTGACGATTATTTCAACAATCTATTAATCTCAATTATTCCAATTAATTATTTCCGGGATAGTTTTAAGTAAATCATCATGTGATATGGCCTGATCTCACCACATTCTGACTTGATAAGCTGAACCAACAGATTTTCCCGTTGGACTATTCTAAACTCCTGCAAATTTAATGTTGATCTCCTTCTGCTTCTCTGATTAACGCTCTTCATACCGAGCTAATAGGTTTGGCTGGATAGGATTTGTTTAGCATGCTCCTGTACAATACTCTACATTTTCTGATGCTTGATTAAAAACATTGTCTGTGAGATCCTAAAATCCTGAAATATTGTTTTATACCTGAACCATGCTTTACCATCGATAACTTGTTTCCTGGCCTGCCTGCTGTTACTTGCCTTTCATGATGCTGTTTTTGTAATATATATGTAAAAAAAAACTTCCATCCGTCCATCCGTCCATCCATCCATCCATCCATCCATCCATCCATCCATCCATCCATCCATCCATCCATCCATCCATCCATCCATCCATCCATCCATCCATCCATCCATCCATCCATCCATCTTCTGTCATGCTTATCCCAAGCGGGGTCACAAGGGATGCTGGTGCCTATGATTTCCATTTAACATCAGTGTATTTAGCTGTTTTACCAAGACCATGGCTTACAAAAAAATGTTAAGTATACAGGCATAGGAATTTTCTTCAGAGCCGGCTTCACCATTAAATGTGATGCCTGTCATGTCTTTTCATGCTGACCCTGGATAGAAGCCTGTAAGAGACATCAGAGGCCACAGCCTTACACACTGCTCTGAAAGAGTAATATATTTGAGATTCTTTGCAGTCAGTCTCCCTCTACTAAAGCTAATAAACTACTCCAATGTCATATGAGGCTCAAGGGAGGAGCAAAAATACATAGAGCAACTTCCAGACAAACAAGGGAAATTACAGACAGTGCAGACTGAGAGGAAGGTGGTGAACCGTTCAGGGAATAAGGCAGGGAGTAGAAAAATTAAACAAAAATAAAGAGATCCTAGAAAAGAATGAAGGCAGGCAGGAGAGATAAAATGGAAAAAATAAAAACCAGCAAAGACAATCTTTTGAGGTATGGATAAAATATATTACTTCTGAAGATTTCCCACTTTTTGGTAAATCATTTGACATTGCTTAGGTGTAGCTTTGTACACTGCAAAAAATAGAAATCTCAATAAGTTATTTTTTCTTAAAATAAGTGTGTTTTTCCTTGATTTGAGGAGGTAAGTAAGACACTTTGCCAATGGAACAAGACAATTTCCTTTTAAAATAAGAAAAAACTATTTTATCGTCTTATTTCAAGTAAATATTATCTAACTATCTTATTTTAAGAGTAGAAATACTCATTCCATTGGCAAATCATCTTATTTACCTGCTCAAATTAAGGCTAAATATACTTAATTTAAGCAATTTTTTACTGATTTCTGGATTGTTTTTGCAGTGTAGGCAAGATATTGTTTTTTTATATGCTAATTCCCCTTCTTCCCAACTCGAATATGGTTTTGAGAACGTGATAGATAGGATTATTTATATTTCTGCTTACAGTGCAATTTAAATACTCAGAGTCTTTAAGTTATCATACTTGTAGTGTCTAGCTAGATCCAGAACCGGGTCGCAGGGGCAGCAGTCTCAGTAGCAGTCTGTCTGCAGACACCTCCTCCAGCTCTGCTGGGGGAAACCTGAGGTGCTCCCTGGCCAGCTGAGAGACATAGTCCCTCCAGCATGTCCTGGGTCATTCCATGGACCATCTCAGCCTCTCCTGAAAGACCAAGTTCCTCACCCTATCTCTAAGGGATTACCAAGCCACACTATGGAGAAAGCTCATTTCTCTCTCTGAGAGGGCTTTGCCTTTTTGCTAAGGTCTTTCTTTACCACGACAGATCAGTGGAGCGTCGGCATTACAGCAGCAACACCAATCCTCTCAAATACTCTCAATCCTACGCTCCATTCTCCCCTCACTCCTCAACAGGACCCAAAGATCCTTGAACTCCTTCACTGGAGACAGGAACTCTCCTCGAATCTGAAGGGAACAAGCCTTTTTCTGGTGGAGAACCATGGCCTTAGACTTGGAGGAGCTGATACTCATCCTGGCTGCTTCCCAATCGACTGTGACCCACCCCAGTGCATGCTGTGGGTCTGGGCAGGAGGGAGCCAGCAGAATGAGATCCACTGGTCTCCGAACCAGACCTCCTACGGAGGGTCCAGGACAGTGCATCTGGATTGGCAGACTGAGGCTGTGGTTCCCCTACATATGAAAGGTGGCAAGAGGGTGTGTTCCAACTATAGGGGAATCATACTCCTCAGCCTCCACATTAAGGCCTATGCCAGGGTTCTAAAGAGAAGAATCTGGAACAGTGGAACAGTGGACAAGCTCTGCATCCTCTGCAGGGTTTTTGAGGGTTCATGGGAGTTTGTCCACATGCGTTTTGGGGACCTGGGGAAGGCGTTTGACTGGGTCCCCAAAAGTGACTTGTGGGGAGTACAGAGTTGGGGATCCTTTACTAAGACCACCCGGTCTCTCTACAAGTGGCGCAGGAGCGTGGCCCACAATCCAGGGATTAACTTGAACGTGTGTATACAAAATGACAGTAAAGTTTGTTTTTTTGAAGTGTTTGTGGTGCATGATGGACGACAGGGCTGCCCTCTGTCACCGGATTATTCAAGTTATCAATTAATATTATTACATTAATGTAACTCTTATAAATGCGACATATTTAGCTCTAAAA